TGGAGTTCCCTCCAGACGGGCCTCCAGGTGGCTTTTCCAACCTGTGTTGGCAAAGAAAAGAAAGATGAAACCTCTGCTGGGATACAGGGTGATATGCGGGGTGGGGGAAGGGTACTGAACTTCACATTGAAATGGCTTAAAAAAAAAGAAACGAAAACAAAAACAAAACCAGAGGATATCCAAAGGAGCTCTCTTGCACTGTTGGTGGGAATGTAAGCCGGTGCAGCCACTGTGGAAAACAGTATGGATGTTCTTCAAAAAGTTAAAACTAGAACTACCATATGATTCAGCAATCACTACTGGGTGTTGAGCCAAAGAATACAGAAACACTAATACAGAGGGGTACATGCACCCCTAGGTTATTACATTATTTACAATAGCCAACTTATGGCAGCAGCCCAAGTGTCCCCTCGACTGATGAATGGGTAAGGAAGATGTGGTATATACATACAATGGAATATTACTCAGCCATAAAGAGTGAACTCTTGCCATTTGCAATAACATGGCTGGATCTAGAGCGTATAATGCTAAGTGAAATAAGTCAGAGAAAGACAAATACCAAATGATTTCACAAAACAAGCAAAGGGGAATAAAGAGAGAGAGAGGCAAACCAAGAAACAGACTCTTAACAGAGAACAAACTGATGGTTCCCAGAGGGGAAGTGGGTGGGAAGATGGGGGAGATAGGTGATGGGGATTAAGGAGTGCAGTTGTCATGAGCACTGGGTGTTGTATGGAAGTGTCGAATCACTGTATCATACACCTGAAACTAATATTACAGTGTCTGTTAACTGGAATTAAAAACTTAAAAAAAAAAATCCAGAGATACATTTTCTGTTTACTTTTTATTTTAAATGACTTTCTGGAGTCATTTGTTCTTAATTCTTTTGCTTAGTAATGTGTTCTACCCTCCGGTTCTTGCTCACACCTTTCTGGCCTGGAGAGCCCCCCTCTGCCTCCACTGCCGCCCCCCCTCCCCAATCCTTCCCATCTTCTAAGACTGAAATCAGCCTCCTTTCCCTTTTCCCCACATCCCGGTTTCCTGCCGTATACCTGGTTCAGCATCACCTCTTTCAATCGCCCCCGCTTTTACTCCCTTCTCGTCTCCTTTCCATTGGGACTGCTGTTGATTGGCTAACATTCAGAAACACTGGAGTAAGGTGTTTATTGATTGGTGGACGCTATTACCATTGGGGTGAGGCGGTTGTTGATTGGTGGACTCCATTGGGGTGAGATGGTTGTTGATTGGCTAGCTCTTTGAAGCACTGGGGCAAAGCACCTATTGATTGGCTGACTTCCCTGGAGTGAGGCAGTTATTGATTGGCTGGCCTCGTGAAGTTTTTATATTGACGGGAAGTTGTTGTAAATCAATTAGAATAGGTTTGACACCCATTGCTATCATTTTCTAGGTGCGAGGGAACTTTTAATTTTCATCCTAGATTTTCTGGGTTGGAATAAGCCCATCAAAATGCAGATCACGCATTAGACCCTCACCCAGCCACCTACCCCAGAAGGGGGCACATGAGCACAGATTTGGGAGTCCACAGACCTGGGCTCAGATCCCGATTCTGTTATTCAGCACGTCACCTAATCTCTGTGATCCTCAGTCTCCTAAAAGATAACACCTCCATGAAAGGTGGGTGTTCCGGAGATTAAACGAGTTGACCTGCGTCAGGTACCCATCACACACTCAGAATTCTCGTGATCATACACAGGTCTAACAACCCAAGGAAAGCATCCTGCGGTGGCATTTTGTGACTCAGTTCCCTCTTACTTGGTTTTTCCCTTCTGAGGCCTGTCAGAAAGATGAACTGTAAAAACCTGATGCTCAGACCTCACTCCTCAAGATTCTGATCTAATTGGTCTGTGGTAGAGCCCAGACACCATATGTGTTTAAGCTCCCAGTGATGTCAGTATACACTGAAGCATACCCTGCCTGGCTAGCTCCTTCCTTAACTGCTGTTCATGCAGTTAAATCACGCAGGAAAGTAATAAATTGCTCTGATTGGCCTTATGTGATGGGCTGGTCTTGTTAAAAACTCTCTTGGGGCGCCTGGGTGGCTCAGTCGTTAAGCGTCTGCCTTCGGCTCAGGTCATGATCCCAGGGTCCTGGGATCGAGCCCCACATCGGGCTCCCTGCTCAGCCAGGAGCCTGCTTCTCCCTCTCCCACTCCCCCTGCTTGTGTTCCCTCTCTCGCTGTCTCTCTCTCTTTCTGTGTCAAATAAATAAGAATTAAAAAAAATAATAAAAATAAATAAAAACTCTCTTGAAAACTGTGTAATTAAGAAACTAACCTGGTATTCAAATGGGATATTCTCTGAGCCCCAATCCTATTACTGATCTCATTATTATTAAAAAAAAAAAAGAAAGAAAAACTGCCTTTATGACTTCAAAAAGTTTAACCCTGACAGAAAGGTCAGGAGAGAGAGAGATACATAGTATGGACTGGAGATTTCCCAAAAGTATGTAACAAAATGGTCTACAGTTTGGAAATAAGCATTGTGTAAACTTTGTCCTCTTGGATGTCACATACATTATGCATAAGGATTATTAAATATTTCCTCCTTCCTGAAAGGTTTGTTATCTCTAAATTTGGAAGTTAATTCAAGAAACAGGAGAACATGTATTATTTATAAGTCTCTTTAGCATCTAGTAGAAAGTGTCATGTTATTTAAAAATGGTATTCGTGCTTCCATGGAGTCAGTGCACACTGGTTCCCTCTATCATCCTAAAGTCATCCCTAGAAGGTAATGAGAAATTGTCTCTGTCAGAGGGGAGGAGGGTTTTAGTCAAGACTCTTTCCATTATCCCTTCCTTCCAAGTTTTAAGGAAGCCTAGTCAGTTGAAGGACTGAATATTGAATTTTTCTGCTGGAAAAAATACTGGGCCATCTTGTACCTAAAAAATAGGGAGCTGCTGACATAGTTGATGACTATATTCATTTTAGTCATTCAGTTATGCCTTTGCTATATATTACTTCCAGAACTGACTTAACTAGATGTATAATATACTATATTTATTTCTTGTTTTAATAAACTTTGTATTTTGGGATGATCTTATATATGGTTCACTCTTGGTGTTGCATATTTTATGGGTCTCAACAAATGTATAATGATGTATATCCACTATTAAAGTATCATACAGAGCAGTTTCACAGCTTTAAAAATCTTACGCTCCACCTGTTTGTCCCACCCTCCTCCATCACCCCTGGCAACCACTGATCTTCTTACTGTCTCCGTTGCTTTGCTTTTTCCAGAATGTCATAGAGTTGGCATTGTTAAAGAGAAAAATATCCATGACACTTTTTATTTTATTTATTTATTTATTTATTATTTTTTAAAGATTTTATTTATTTATTTATTTGACAGAGAGACACAGCAAGAGAGGGAACACAAGCAGGGGGAGTGGGAGAGGGAAAAGCAGGCTTCCCGCTAAGCAGGGAGCCCCAGCGGGACTCGACCCCAGGAACCTGGGATCATGACCTGAGCCGAAGGCAGACGCTTAACGACTGAGCCACCCAGGTGCACCATGACACTTTTTAAAGAGGGGTAAGGCAGACTTTACTGAGAGGCATTACTACAAGGGAGTTGCATTTGGGCTCAATTCTAAATACAAGAAGGAAAAATAGTTCATTATCAGGGAGTAAGGTAGGCTATAGATGAATGGATGGTTACTGAGAGGAAACATCAGGGGTAAAGGAGGGATTCTGACTAAACTGACCTGACAGGATTCTTCCTGAAGGCAGGCCAGGCGATGAGGCATCCCCTGGATAAGAGTGGAGGATTCTGGCTCAACCAGCTTAGCAGGATTCATGGTAAAATTGGGACATGAAGAGATAGATGTTGAGGCTTAGTCTGGGAAGAGGATTCAGAGGAGCCTGACTAAAGTTTCATCAAGGAGAGGGTCTTTGTGAGAATGAGACAGTGGGTGGCGTTTACAGAGTTGCTTCTTTACTTAGCAATGCCTTTTCATGGCTTGATAACTCATTTCTTTTTATCACTGAGTAATATTCCATTACCTGGATATACCACAGTTTATTCATTCACCTCCTGAAGGAAATCTTGATCACTTCCAAATTTTGCCAATTATGAGTGAAGCTGCTATAAACACCCTTGTGCAGGTTTCAAGAGTAATTTTATTTTATTTTGTTAAAGATTTTATTTATTTATTTGAGAGAGAGAGAAAGAGAGCATGAGTGGGGGAGGGGCAAAGGCAGAGGGAGAAGCAGGCTCCCCACTGAGCAGAGAGCCCAATGTGGGGCTCAATCCAAGGACCCTGGGATCATGACTTGAGCCAAAGGCAGATGCTTAACCAACTGAGCCACCAAGGTGCCCCTCAAGAGTAATTTTACATGTATAGAAAAATTGCAAAGATAGTACAGAGCATTCCCCATATACCTTTTCCTCTGTTTACCATCTAGTATTAACCTCTCCCACAGCCATGGTACATTTGTCAAAACTAAGGGATGAACATTGGTATGTGTTACTGTTAACTAGATCTTACTCAGATTTCACCATTGTTTCCACTAATTTCCTTTTTCTGTTTCAGGAGCCCACCAGGATACCACATTTATTTTAGTTTTAATTTGTAAGGGCAGTTTGGGTGTGTGTGTACATTAAATGCGTTCATAAAATTCAGTATATCTTGAGACAGTGGATGTAAACATAGCAGCTACAAGGAGCTGCCATTACTTAATCAAGTGAACACATTTAATTATGACATCGTTACTTAGACTTTTTGGAAAGTTTGTTTTCGGTTTTGGCACAGCAGGCAGATTTCCCAGTATACAAAATGAGGATTTGTTTTATTAGGTTGCCGTTTCTAAACAAAATACTGAAGCTTGTTGAAAGAAGGTCATCTTAAGGTTATTTCAAGACCCAGGAGGAAACTGGTTGCCAAGTTTTCATAAAAGCTGTCAGTGCGTAATTTTTCAAGTTGATACGCAGGATGAAGTGTTTGGTTGGTTCTCTAATGAGCATCTCCAAATGTTTTGCTGGCAGAAGGACTCCATGAAAGATGACAGAGGAAGTTATTGTGATAGCAAAGTGGGACTACACTGCCCAGCAGGACCAGGAGCTGGACATCAAGAAAAACGAGCGCCTATGGCTGCTGGACGACTCTAAGACATGGTGGCGGGTGAGGAACGCGGCCAACCGGACGGGCTACGTGCCCTCCAACTACGTGGAGAGGAAGAACAGCCTGAAGAAGGGCTCCCTTGTGAAGAACCTGAAGGACACGCTAGGTGAGTGTGCCCACTCGGTAGGACCCGGATTAGAGCTGAACTACTTCCTGTGAGGGAAGGCAAGGAAGCCTTGCATTTTTGAGGAGAGAGCGTTCATCTTTTTAATTCATGTGTGTGTTTTTAAAAAGGTCTGTTTTAAAGTTTACATCTTTCTAGTTGTCTTTTTTTTTAATCTCTGAAAATGAAGCGATCCCGGTGGAGAAATACCATGTTTGTCTTTTCCTGGAGATATTAGAGTCTGGAGTCTTATGGAAGTTGACACTTCTGCGTGTTGGGAACCCCTGCATGTGTCTCTGTCTCCTGACATCAATATTCTGGAGGTTCCTGACGTGCAGTTACCACCTCCAGAAATGTCAGCCGCTCTGCCCATGTCACCCCATCAGGTCTTCTGTGTCTCACACAACCCTGTCCATGTGGCCTTCATGCATACAGTGGGAAGGAGCAAAGAGCACTTTGAACCGGGTGGATTTTTTTCCCCCTCTCCTAGACTTATGACGCCCATACTGCAGTCCTGGCCAGTGTTAGCTCAGGTGGCAGTGGGCGGGCACCAGTGTGGTGCCAGAGGCTGGCATCGGTCACTCGGGTGCGGAGTGTTGGGAGCTCAACCCAGCCGGGTCGTCATCTGGTTTTCTTCCCACGTGCCCTGTATCCCGACGTGACCCAGGCCACCTTGAATCACCTAAAGTTAATGGTGTCCGCTCTTGTCTTAGTGTGCATATCCGATGTACTTAGAGTAGTGACTGCTTCAGATGATGTGGGGAAGTAACTGTGAGGGCCTTGCCAAAGAACGATGAGCCAAGCTGCCATTTGCAAAAGTTGGTGTTGCCTCCTTATGAGTCTAATGTGGGTCATACCTGAGACTGCTGGTTATCATTTAAGAGTTTGCTATGAAATAAGTCAAATTATCACCTGTGTTACATTTACTTGACTTTTCCCTTTCTATTTTTAACAGGAGGATTTGTTTCATGTGGGGTGGGAAGGGAGCAAGTGGGAAAACTGGAAAGAAAATTATACACCGAATGTAGTGGGTGTTGCGAAGTAGTCATTTTAAATTTCATGCAATCTTGAAGAGTTTACTAAGTCTCTCTTCAGATCCACTTAAAGACTTCATTTATTGGGTAGTGTTTTTGTATTAGGGCTTAGGTTATTTCTGTGATGTGGAAAGAAAAATGAGACACAGGCCTGAGTATGAATCACACCAGTTATGACAGATTCTGAGGCTGATGTAGAAATTTCATTTTGCATGAGCAGTCTGATTCTTTTTTCCACTAACCTGATACCCCTGTAATTTTTTTTTCCCAAGTCACTTTGAAAGATACATTGTTGTCCTTTACCTATAGCTCTTAATTAACTTTGGCAAAAATGCAGTTAGCATGAACAGATAAATACCTGAGCTTAATTTTATTTATTTTTTCCAATTTCAGCCTCTCGCCCACCAAAGTACCTTCTTTGGGACCTGCTGAACATCCTTGACTTGCTTTGTTTTCTTTCTTATCCATTTTTTAATATTGGGAAATTGAATGAAATGATTGGAAGGGAAATAAGACAAAGCAAGCACTCCGAACTATCTAGAAATGCCCTGGAATACCTTGTCATTTTTTTTTTTTTTCCCTTTACTTGGTAGAAGGAGAAAAGACAAAGCCTCAAATGGAAACCATTAACCAGATGTCTCACTCCGTGTCTACTTTTTCTCGAGCTGTGATCTGTTTGGTGTGCTGGGGAACTGTGGGCCTCTCGTCACAGAGGAGCCTCACTCCACCAGCTGCTCCTGGTGCTGGGTGCTGGGTGTTGGGGGTACTGTGGCTCTGAGCATAGAGGAACTTCATTCCACTAGCTCCTCCCGGTGCTGGGTGCTCGGTGCTGGGGGTACTGTGGCTCTCAGCATAGAGGAACCTCACTCCACCAGCTCCTCCCGGTGCTGGGTGCTGGGGGTACTGTGGGCTCTCAGCATAGAGGAACCTCACTCCACCAGCCCCTCCCGGTGCTGGGTGCTGGGTGCTGGGGGTACTGTGGCTCTCAGTATAGAGGAACCTCACTCCACTAGCTCCTCCCAGTCCTGGGTGCTGGGTGCTGGGGGTACTGTGGCTCTCAGCATAGAGGAACCTCACTCCACTAGCCCCTCCCAGTGCTGGGTGCTGGGTGCTGGGGGTACTGTGGCTCTCAGCATAGAGGAACCTCACTCCACCAGCCCCTCCCGGTGCTGGGTGCTGGGGGTACTGTGGCTCTCAGCATAGAGGAACCTCACTCCACCAGTCCCTCCCAGTGTTGGTTGCTGGGGGTACTGTGGCTCTCAGCATAGAGGAACCTCACCACCAGTACCTCCCGGTGCTGGGTGCTGGGGGTACTGTGGCTCTCAGCACAGAGGAACCTCACTCCACCAGCCCCTCCCAGTGCTGGGTGCTGGGGGTACTGTGGGCTCTCAACATAGAGGAACCTCACTCCACCAGCCCCTCCCGGTGCTGGGTGCTGGGGGTACTGTGGCTCTCAGCATAGAGGAACCTCACTCCACCAGCCCCTCCCAGTGCTGGGTGCTGGGTGCTGAGGATACTGTGGGCTCTCAGCATAGAGGAACCTCACTCCACTAGCCCCTCCCAGTGCTGGGTGCTGGGTGCTGGGTGCTGGGTGCTGGGGGTACTGTGGCTCTCAGCATAGAGGAACCTCACTCCACCAGCCCCTCCCGGTGCTGGGTGCTGGGTGCTGGGGGTACTGTGGCTCTCAGCATGGAGGAACCTCACTCCACCAGCCCCTCCCGGTGTTGGATGCTGGGGGTACTGTGGCTCTCAGAATAGAGGAACCTCACTCCACCAGCCTCTCCCGGTGTTGGGTGCTGGGGGCACTGTGGCTCTCAACATAGAGGAACCTCACTCCACTAGCTCCTCCCAGTGCTGGGTGCTGGGTGCTGGGGGTACTGTGGCTCTCAGCATAGAGGAACCTCACTCCACTAGCTCCTCCCGGTGCTGGGTGCTGGGTGCTGGGGGTACTGTGGCTCTCGGCATAGAGCAACCTCACTCCACCAGTCCCTCCCAGTGCTGGGTGCTGGGGGTACTGTGGCTCTCAGCATAGAGGAACCTCACTCCACCAGACCCTCCCGGTGCTTGGTGCTGGGCCCTGCCCCGCCCCTGACAGATGGCCACCCAGCTCTGCCAGAATACTTCTACCTCGACAGTCAGCCAGTTCCATTTTTGGAGAACACAGATTGCTCGAAAGCTCTCCCTTAAATAGAATCAAAGTTTGCTTTTCTTTAACTTTTTCCCCTTGGCTCTCGAGAGCTGCCTGAGTTAATGCGTGTTCCTCTCTTGGAAGATGACAGCTCCCCACCAGGCCTCAGTCACAGTTCAGGCGTGCATCTGCTTGGACACATTTGTGCTAAGCATTACGTGTTGTAAAAACACAAATAAAATTGTATTTTCAACATCCGTATCTGTGGAGAAATGCTCCCCCACCACCACCGTTTTTGTGTATCTTTTTATTTCTTGTTTACCATGTTGCCTCGAAGCCTTGCTTTTGTTGCACCAAGAGAGACCTTGGTATTCCATCATGAGTTTTCCATTGCCAAAGGGAAGTACCAAAGGGAAGGGAGGGCCCCCTCCCCATAAGAAATCCCCACAGCGGAGTGACTTCTTAATCCCCCACAGTCAGCCCTGACACAGCATCGTTGTCAACAAGGAAGGTGAGAAAACCTTCCACAGCTTGTCCTGCCTCCCACTTGTCCCTATGGCTAGAAAGATTGGAGCCAGGTGTTTGTGGCTCCCTGCTTTTAAAGTATTGTCACCAACATGCTGTCACAATTACAGTGTGATTTTAGTTGATGATGCAGCCAGCAGAAATTCTCTCTGCGTATTAGAAGGAGTGAAAATTATGTTGAAAACTACACGGCATTGTGTTGCCCTTCCAGTAGCTACTCATGGTGTCATCCACATTTGTGATTTTTACGCTATGGAAATCCACCTGATTCCTCAATCCGGAATAAAATTTCCCTGGCAGGTGCCTGGTTTGGAATAAAATAGCACCGGACTCCCCAGCAAAGTCACAGTGTTATAAATGTGTTTACGTCTCTGTTGCAGAGAACTGGTACTCTGTGGAGCTCCCTCCTGCTTTCTTATACTCAGTTGCTCTGTTGAGGTCAGTGGAAAATTCAGTTTAATCACATGCAATACTTTGTTAGAGTAACTTCTAGAAAGCAGTACCTTTGACAAAAAGATCTCTGTTAGGAAAGGATTCACATTCTTTCTTTTCCTTTAATAATTTATAATTGAATAAAACAGTATGAGCTCTTATTTACACATGAGCAAAACATTTATACGCTGGATCTCCTCTCATATTCAACTTATGATCATGAACAGTCAAAGAGAACTTTTCCGCAGATAACAAGGGGCAATTGTTAAGAACCCTTTCTCCTGGCTGAGCCCACTTGATGTTTTGAAGGGCTCAAACCATGCAGTTCTTTGCTCCGCGATGAGGAGCGTTCCTGGTCTACAGTCTGGCCTTGACATTGCAGCCTCGCTTATTAAATCATGCGGGTTAGGTGTTTTAAAGCACCGTGCTACATCTTTTGAGATGAGGAAGCTGCTTCCAGGGAGGTAGTTTTCAAAGATTTTCCCTCAGACTACTGAAGAACGGTTTTTGTTATAACTTCATGACAGCAGCTGGGACCCAGCAAAGCCCCAAAGGTTAACTCTGTTCTCGGTGGTTCACTGAAGTCCATGGGCTGCCTTGGGATGCCCAAAACGATACGGTTGCATTTAGAAGCTATTAGCAACCTCCTCGGGAGGGTTTGTTCCAAGGCACACGTGCTGTTTGCTGACTGCCTTCCTGGGTGTCTGGAGTCAGAAGTGATCCCCCCCCCCCCCCCACCGTTGTTTCTTTAGCATTTGTCCCAGTGTGACCATACCTAAGGCCAATTAGCACCCTGCCAGTGATTAGCCCCCGGACTCCCACCCCTGATTCCAAGCCAGACCTGGGAGCAGAGGGAGACTCCCTGATGCTAACTAACTGTAAAA